CCCCTTTCTTCTGTGAAAGAGCAAAGGCGATTTGCAAATAATCATAAAAAATATAAAGTGTCAGACTTACTTCTGGAGGTGCAGCTGGATCACGAACAATGGGTACTGATCTATCCTTGAGTTTTAACTTTTTAACAAAACCTGCCTTGAACTGTCCCTCGTTCAGAAAGCAGTCTGGAGTAAAATTATTTGCGCAGATATAAACGAATTTAGGTGTATTCAGTGGCGCATTACCATTACAAACAAAACGAATGCACTGCGTCCTTAGTGGCTCTGATGTCGGGAGAAAATTAAGATTCTTATGTTCTTCTACATCACAAAACTACAAAACACTTTTGTGTTCTTCTGTGCCACCTCTGTAGTACAAATTAATTTATTAATACTAATTTCATATGATTGGTAACTTATTTGTCTTATTCTACTTCTTATTATATTGTTTTAAATAGAAATTTTAAAAAGCTTATAAACATACATTTTTGAATTTGACATATATGAAAATGAGGCCATTATACAGGTAAAAAGAAAATACCCCTGTACGTCACTTTAAGGAGTCAAATGTCACCTCGTATTAGGAAGGCTAATTTTTAATCAGATTTTTTGATTATTGATCAGAAGGTGCTCCTAAATTTTTAAATTAGGAGTACAAGCGCTCCTGACTGAAATTATACGCTAAAAATGAAACTAAATCCACCAGCAGGTGGCGGCAAGTCACTGATTTTATCACTGAATCATTCATTCAATTGTTTCGTTCGAACGGCTGATTCATTCAGGAATGAAGCAACTGTCTTTATGAACTGACGGAAATCCGTCATAGCGACAGAAGGGAACACTTTAATCCCTGCATAAATTACATTTTAAATATATATATATAAATAGAAAAAAAGTGTTTTCAATTGTATTACTGTTTCATATGACTACTGTTTATACTGTATTTTTGATCAAATGCAGCCTTGGTGAACATAAGATGTTTTTTTTTTTTTAAATAAAAAACATTAAAATCTTACCAATAAATAACAAAATGACAAGCGTATAAGCATTAAAGGGTTCTTTCTCCCACAATTACTCATCCCCATGAGGTATAATAAAACCTGGCACAGCTGAAACAAACTGGCATGGATTTATAACAACAGAAAGGTGAATAAATAATGACAGCATTTTCACTTTCAATTTCTCATCTATTTTGTTCACTATAGGATAGAGAACGGTTAAAAGGCCACACGAGGTCTCTGAATGGGGGTTTCCCAGTGTCATAAGACTGTAACATTAATATTATCACTATGACTGCTCACCAGAGATAACTGAAACGAATAATTTACTGTTTCAGTTTGTTGGAATATTTTTCAGATTCTATCTACATGTATTTTGTGTAGCAGGGTGTTCAATAATTGCCAGTAAGATTTTTCTACTCCACCTTTTTATAACCGATGCTGCTTGAGCAGGTTAAATTGGTAGAATATGCATTTTTCTCATTTTCACAACAGTCAGAAGCTAACCGCTTTCATTTGAAACCGTAGAGTAATACGAGAACCATGAAAATAGCACAATGTTGCCATGGGCAAAGGTCAAATATATAGTTTAGCAGTAATTATACAGAAACATTTTCCACAATTGACCGATCAGAATCAGGTGTTTCAGAGTGTCGTGTAATAATAATGCTAAAAGACTTGCTTTTGATGCAACTGAATCGTGATTATTCAAAAATGATGCTTTCCAAAATGACAGCATTGTAACACATGTCTGTATTTCCCCTGCAGTTACTTTGTGGACGCCTCCAGCGGAGCATATCAAGAGTGTGACCACACGTGTGAGGAATGCTCAGGAAGCAGCCGTTTCTGTCTCAGCTGTAGAGATGGATACTTCCTGTTGAGAAAGTCTGGACAGTGTCTGCGTACATGCCCATCAAACTACTTCCCTCACACCTTAGACAGAGATTGCCAAAGATGCCACCCCACCTGTAAAACATGCAAGGGTCAGACTCACCACATGCCTGCAACTGTCAAATAAATAGGGCTGCACAGTAAACACTTAAAAAACTAAAAATGTAATATTTGATCTATTTACTGGGATGCAATGCAAACCCTAATTTGGGAAACCCTGACTTACATGATAACTAAAAATTAAAGATAAACTGAAAAAGCCTATCTGCATCTTACAGGTTCATAAATCTGTGTGTATATATATATATATATATATAGATAGATATATATACATATATAGAGAGAGAGAGAGAACAGTTAACTAGTTAGTGGCTAGTCCGAGGATTTTCAAAAAATATTGGTTGCGTATGCGAGTGATTTTTTTTTTTCTCTCGTTGTAGAGGGTTGCTGGGTTCGACACAAGCTCAATCAACAGGCATAATGTTTATTAACATAATATTGTTAATTATGATTGGTCGCTCCTTTTCTTTAAAAAATAAAATCAGGGTTACAATGGAAGTGAATGCAGCCAGTCTGTAAACGTTTGAATACTCAGTGTTGCAATAATACAGTAGTAGTTACTAACCTTTTCTGTGTGCAGTTTAATATTCAATTTTTAAACTTTGCTGCCATGACAATATAGCAGCTATAAGATAATAAGCTTCATCTTTCTGCATTTAACGCTTTCAAAAATTGTCCCCGTTCACTTCCATTGTAAGTTCTTTTTAAACGAGAAGAGAAGTCAAAAGTATTTTTTATGGTAATCAACATTATGCTGTTGATTTACCTAAACGTGTACTGAATCCGCAATATTCATTTAAACCACACTTATGCATATCTGAAGTGATTGTTTTATTGATATATGAAGTTTATCACAATATGAACATTTAATGTTTGACAACAAAAGTGTCTAAATACTAATGCAGTGACATTTTTTCAACTTTTAAGTGTTTAAAAATAAGACTAGATCATCTTTTATCATCTTAACTCTGACTTTTCAGAAAGTTGTCTTTCATCCTGCATTTTAAATCCATTTTAGACCGTTTTTAGTACAATCCGAGTGCAGATGATATGATTTGTGTACCTCAGCATGATTTAACTAGTCTGATCGGCAGGCTCTGGTGAGATCTCCTGTACATCATGTTATGACCGTTTCAAAGTGTTTGGAGGAATCTGCTCATCTACGTGTCTAATGGGGGAATATCCCATCCGTGTGGTAAATGTCTCTTTATTACAGTTTTATCAAATCTGTAATGTGCTAATCTAACTATATTGTAGTGTTTTTTTTTTACATTTAATTTTCTCTCTTATACCTTTATTGTTTGTGTTTATCTTATTTCATCTCATCCTGACATTTCTTAGCCATTCAAACGTACATTAAATGTGTGAACACCCCCCTTCATAGATTACTCTAGACAAATTCCTTATTTTAGATATTTTGGTTCTTTCTAACATGTTTTGTGTTTTGCACAGAATAACACATGTGCCCCATGTGACCCGTCCTGTAATGAATGTAAAGGTCCGGAACCCTACAGCTGCACCTCGTGCCCTATTCTACTGCGCCTCACAGAGGATGGGAGGTGTCTTCCTCGCTGTGGAGAAAACACACGCACGCATTCCTCAAGATTTCCCTCGGAATGCTGCCAGTGCCACACACTGAATGGTACAAGCTTTAAATGCATTCATTCTACACTGGGAAAAAAAAAACATTTACTGTGAAACCATTTTCACTTAGAAATTGCTAGTAAATTTCACAAATAATCACAAAGAAGTGACAAGTAACACAAAAAAGTCAAGGAAGACTAGTATTCTTTTAAAATGTACACATTTCTCATGTACTTAATGTCATTTATAAAGACAATTTGAGTCTTTAAAACTGCAAAAAAAAAAAAATAGAAATATTATATAAATTATTTATATATTTCAGTGTTATTTGCATATTATTAATGTACTATTGTAGTATTTATTCATATTATAAATGAGCTTTTATAAAAAAAAATTTGTTTTAGTAATCTTATGTGGTGTTGTTATTTGTAGTTATTTTAAATAGTTTTAAATAGTTAATATTTCTATTTAGCTTCAGTTTTAGAGTTTTGACTTATTTTATTTCAGTTAGTTACCAAGGTTAAATTTCAATGTTTTTGTCTAATATTTATATTTTATTTCAGCCTCATTTCAATTAACATTTTTAACAGTTTTAGTTTTAGTAAAAAATAACAACACTGATATATTTAAACTGCTTTACAGATACAATTATTTATATCAATTATTTGTATTAATATTTATATATTAATACAAGCTCACACTTCTGCTCAACACCCTGCCAAATTCAAATATTGCATGCCTTTTTGTTTGATTTTTAAAAAACTGAGAATGAAATTCAAATGTATTTTCTGTCGTAATGACAGCATGCCATCAATGCCTGAACCAACCATGTAAGATTCACATAATACTGTATCATTAGATAACACTGACTCAGAGTGGGAGATGTTACTAAATTATGGTTTGTACATTTTTAAAATTTGAATTTTTTTTTAGCTTTCAGTGTGAAGCCATTGACCTTTAACCTCTCTTTTCTCAGATGAATGCATTGTCGCACAGAGCTACAACGTCTTCAACAACGATCCAGTGGCTTGGGTTTATCCTGGCCTTTTTGTTTTCACTGTCATATTTGTGCAGGTGAGCTTGTGGCTTGCCATTTTTCTCTTCCTGCATTTTCGCCAGAAGATCACCTTAAAGCTCACCGTCAAACCGAATGGCTACACCAAAATCGCAGACGACCCCTTCACCTCTGCGAACCTCTAAGCAAGCCAGGAGGATGAGGACATGGTGTGGGACGGGATAGTGTATCAAAAGTTTAAATACAGCCTGTTGGAGGGAGATGAGGAAGGGGAGGCGGTGGAGCTGGAATATGATAATATTTATACTCTCACATAAATTACAAAAAACCTGTTTATTTTCTTTGATATATGCATATCAATACTTTATTTATTATCATTCTGACATGCAGAAACCCACTAATCTTCACCAATCAACCATTAAAGAAATAGTTCTCCCAAATATCACGATTCTGTCATCATTTACTCACCATAATGTTGTTCTAAACCCATGATTTTATTTCTTCTGTGGAACACAAAAGATGGTATTCAGCAGAATGTGCAAGCTGCTCTTTTACATACAATAAAAGGTTACCATGAATTTTCAGTAAGTTTCGACTTGGAAAAATGCACTGAAAAGTGAATTTCAAAAGGCTTGGAATAAAGTGCAGGAGTCATACAGGCTATTGTTTTTATGCTTTTATGGTGCTTTTTTTTCTTGACAGACTCTGGTCTCCATCCACTTCTAATGGAAAAGAGCATCTTTGATGGTGCTAATGTAATACTCTTTTGGTAAGTAGCTAAATATTAAATACCACGTGGCGGTATCATAAGTATTCATGTTTATGTCATGCCTGCTTTATGTTTGTAGTTAAAGGAAAATGTCACCCAGAAATGAAAATGTACTCGCCCTCAGGTCATCCAAAATGTAGATGAGTTTGTTTGTTCATCTGAACAGATTTGGTAGAAATGTAGCATTACATCACTTGCTCACCAATGGATCCTCTGCAGTGAATGGGTGCCATCAGCTGATAAAACTTCACAATAATCCACAAGTAATCCACATAACTCCAGTCCATCAATTAGCATCTAGTGAAGCGAAAAGGAGTGTTCTTATAAACAAATCTGTTTATTATAAATATTTATTTGGACTCTCATTCTGACGGCAACCATTCACTGCAGAGGATCCATTGGTGAGCAAGTAATGTAATGCTAAATTTCTTCAAATCTGTTTTGATTAAATAACCTCATCTACATCTTTGATGGTCTGAGGGTGAGTACATATTCAGCAAATTGTCATTTTTGGGTGAACTATTCCTTTAAGACCTGTAAATGATTTAAACAGTGTATTGACAGTCCTTTTCAAATGTTAGCTGATTAAACAGTCTAAGGATGATGAATAGGACATTATGGCTTCTTGTTGTGGGTGTATCTCCTTTAAGTTTGATTACTTGATTAAAGCTGCAGTCCGTAAGTTTTGCCTCTTTGTCGCCATCTCTGTTTGAAAACCTGGAATTGCAGCTGTGTGCGGAATTATCTAGCTTGCGTGGGTTGTGAGTCGGCACGGCTCCAGCGCGGATGAATCTAATGTTCTGAAGAGTATGTGTGGCAGTCAGTCACCGCACCGGTGTGGATATTGTACTTTGCACTCACATATTCTAGCCTACGTCTTGGAATACATGACTCAAATTAAGCATTTAAACTGTATATTGTCATCTGAATGAACAAGTAACAAGTCTGCCACGTTTGTTCTGACCAACTGAGGAAAAAATCATTACCATAAATCTCGCTACCAATGGTGATTAAACCTAAAGATCGGTTAGCTCATATCACATCAAACCGTTCAAATTATTATTATTGTTAAACTTTATTCTCAAATGATTAATGTTAACATCAGCATTGGTGACTATGAGTAGTGTGTATTAGCGTGTAGATTTCAATTTCTGCACAGTCTAATCTAATTGTCTTACTCTTCAAATTTCATATTAAGAAAAAATTTTAACCCAAAAAGCAAATTATGCTCCCTTCGAACTGGTTTTCTTTAAAATACAAATCTTTGTAATCCCAGGCTATCTGTAATCAGAAGCACATTTATAACTGGCATATAATTTAATTTCATTCACATGTGTTTCATAAACACATAATCCTTTATGGATTACAATCCGCCATCAAAATGATACATTTAAAGTCCACCTGTAGTCATGCTCGAATTTCCCACGAAAACCTACCCGTACCACTCAAATTAGAAAACATTATTATAAGCTAACCGTTGTGAATCGGGCTAAAGTAAGGCGATAGTTTTGAACACTGGCTGGTTATGTACTTGCTCAAATATTGATTTCGGATCATTTTTAACCAAAAAAAGTTACGGACTGCAGCTTTAAATTAACACACGCTGAAAACTTAAGATGTCTTCAACGATCCGAAGAAAGCTCACGTCACACCCCACACCCCTCCTCATCAGGGTACACTGGCTGCCAGTAGCTGCTCGCATCAAATTCAAGGTACTGATGCTTGCCTACAAGACAACCACTGGCGCTGCACCAATATACCTAAACTCACTAGTTCAGACCTACGCGCCCTCCAGAAGCTTGCGTTCTGCAAGTGAACGACGCCTCGTGGTACCATCCCAAAGAGGCACAAAATCACTCTCACGGACCTTTTCCTGGACTGTTCCCAGCTGGTGGAACAACCTGCCTATCTCAATCCGAGCAGCTCAATCTGTAGCCATTTTGAAAAAACTTCTAAAGACACATCTTTTTCGCCATCACCTGACCAATTAATACTAGCGCTTACCTATTCTATTCTATTCTTGCTATGTGCACTGTGCTAGACTAACTGAAACTTGTCACAGCACTTGTATATTGTTGCTCTCGTTGGTCTGATTGCTTCTACTTTGGAAGTCGCTTTGGCTAAAAGCATCTGCTAAATGACTAAATGTAAATGTAAATATGTACTGTAGATGTTTTTTTGAAAACGTTTTTTTCTGAACTTCTGCATGAAAGTTTTTATACTTCATATTCATTTGATGAATTTAGCACAATAAACCATAAACTAATTCTTCAAACATGAATTACCTGTACACTACTGTTCAACATTTTGGGTTGAGTCCCCCCCCCTTTTAACTTTTTTGGGGAAAAACGTCAGTGTGAATATTTGGTTATTTTAAATTGTAATGTTTCACACGATTACTGTATTTCTGCACAGCAAAAAGCACAACTTTCTTTTGAAAACAAAACCATCTTACAAACCCAAAATGTTTGAATGGTAGTGTACATGTGACCAAGGATTAACTACAGACAAGTAACAGATTTCCATTAGATTAAATCCAGATAAATCGTTTGATTGTATGGGAAACCCTCACTGAAATGTCAGCTGATCTTCCTGGCACTGCGTGACCAACAGCGCACAAAATGAAATAAGAGCCGGTTCACTTAGCCTTGAGGGTGTCTGTTTTTAGGACATTATCTTTACAGCAGCCTCTCATCCAAAAAAGCTGACCGAATATTTAACTCTTTCTTAATGTTAAGATCTTGGGACATCACCTGACAGACACAGGAAATAATACAGCTGTGAATCCTTTTCAGTCAGACGATTCAAATGTTCCTTTACCCAAATAATATACACTTTATATACTCTAGTTTTTATTTTTTATCAGTTTTAGTCATTTTAGTACTTAAACTGAAAGGGATAGTCCAAACAAAAATGAAAATTTTGTCATCATTTATGACTTTCTTCTGTGGAACACAAAAGAAGGTATTATGAAGAATGTTGGGAAACAAACAGTTTTGAGTTCCATTGACTTCCATGGTGTTTTGTCAATGGGAACGAACAGTCTTTAGTTACCAACATTCTTCCAAATATCTTCTTTTGTGTTCCAGAAGAAAGAAACTCATAGATTTGGAACAACTTGAGGATGAGCAAATGACAGAATTTTCATTTTTGGGTAAACAATCCCTTTAAATTCAGTGTTCAGCTAGGTCAGCTTTTTAATATTAATTTTCAAGTTTAATTCAATTCAAGTTTATTTGTATAGCGCTTTTCACGATACAAATCGTTGCAAAGCAACTTTACAGCAAATTAAGTTTCTACAATATTTAGTGGTAGCTTATCAGTGGTGACTGTCAGTTAATGTACATATGGCAGAAATGTACGGAAAAATCAATTAAA